AAAAACTTCTTTTTAAAAATGGCTTATTTTATATGTACTACTTTGCAAGGAAGATTGCTTTTTTTTTTTTTTTTTTTTTTTTTTGGTTTGGTCTTTTTGAGACATGGTCTCCCTTATAGCCCTAGCTGACCTGGAACTCCCTATGTAGATCAGACTGGCCTTGAACTCACAGAGATCCTCCTGGCTCCAGAGGACAGCTTTCAAGAGTTGATTCTCTCTGTCCACTGTGAGTTCCAGGGATTGAACTCAGGCCATCAAACTTGTTCAGCAAACACTTTTTACCCACTGGGCCATTTGTCAACCTAAGTATCAGGCTTTTTGTTTGTGTGTACTTTCTTTACTAAAGAAGAAAATGGATTTTAAATCAGTTAATTTCCAGAAGCTAGTGATACCTCTGAAGGTATCTATCTATCTGCCTGCCTATCATGGTGCTAGTGATCAAAATTAGGTTTCACACATACTAGGCAAGCACTATACCATTGTGCCACATCACCAGGCTAGTGTTCCTGAATTTAGACAAAAGATTTATTGGAAAGAGTCAGAATTGGAGTAATACTCTTAAGTAATGTAAGAGTTTGCTACTTAACGAAATTCTATGGCCAGTCCAGGCATGCTGCTGCATACCTATAATCCTAGTACTTGAGAAGGAGGCTGAGGTAGGAGGATCATAAGTTTGAGGTCAGCCTAGGATACATAGTGAGACCTTGTCTCAAAAAAAAACAAACAAACAAACAAAAAACCCAAAACAATGAAAAAAAAGAGAAATTTTGTTACATAATCTTTGTAAAACAAATGATTGGATTGGTTAGAAAAAGGATTTTTTTTTTTTTTTGAGACTGGGTCTCCCTGTAGCCCCAGCTACATGCACGTGGTACATTTACATACATGTAGGCAAAACACTTGTACACATAAAATAACAATAGATAAATAAATAAAATAAATAAATAAATAAACCTTAAGCTAATTGTGGTGGCACATATCTTTAATCCTAGCACTCTGAAAGCAGAGGCAGGTGATCTCTTGATTTTGAGGCCAGTCTGATCTACATGGTGAGTTCCAGGCTAGCTAGGACTACATAGTAAATAAGATCCTATCTCAAAAAAGAAAAAACAAAGCTTTGCATATTGGCACACACCTTTAGTCCCAGCACTCTGGAGGCAGACAGGCAGATCTCTGTGATATCAAGGCCAGCCTGGTCTCCAGACCAGCTGGGGCTACAGGGAGACCCTGTCTCAAAAAGACAAAAAAACTAGAAAAAAAAACACAACGGAAAAGAAAAAATTAATATAGAGTAAATAACCAATCATATTTAGGAGCTAAGACAAAAAAAAAGTTTGCTGGTGTGGTGGCACATGCAGGAAGATCTCTGTGAGTTTAAGACCAGCCTGATCTACATAACAAGTTCCAGGTCTCCTAGGGCTGCAGGGAGACCCTGTCTCAAAAAGACAAAAAAAAAAAAGCAATTTGAGAGCTCTTTTATGTCATTTTCCTTCTATATATGTCAAGAATGGCTTTACTTTTTTTCTGGAAAGACAACAGATGGGTTTTTGTCTTAGTTTGTTCTCTATTGCTGTGACAAAACACTCTGACCAGTACCAACTTGAGGAAGAAAGGGTTTATTTGTCTTACAACTCCCAGGTCGCAGTTCATCAGGGAGCCCAAGGTAGGAACTCAGGGCAGGAACCTGGAGGCAGGAGCTGGAGCACAGGCCATGGAGGAACGCTGCTTACAGGCTTGCTCCCCTGGCCCCTACTCAGCCTGCTTTCTTATGCAACACAGGCCCACCTGCCCAAGGGTGGCACCACCCACAGTGGGCTGGGCCTCCCACATCACTCATCAAGAAGATGCCCCTCAGACATGGCCACAGGCCAGTCCAATAGAGGCAATTTCCCGATTGAGGCTCCCTCAACCCAGGTGTGTCAAGTTGACACTAAAGCTATCCAGCACAGTTTTGTTGTTTTTTTCTGTTCCATATACCAGCCCAAAATAGGAACCAGATATCTCAACTTCCAGTTGCTAAAAAACGCTTCCTTTTACTAAATAAAACAACAGGAGCCAGGTATAGTGGTGCTTGCCTAAAAACCTAGCACCAATTCTGGGGAGGTGGTGGTAGGAAGATCAGGAATCCAAGTGTTCTTGGCCTCATAGCAAGTTCAAGGGCAGTCTGGGTTAAATGAGACCCTGTCTCACAAAACAAAACAAAAATAGTAGTACTTCAAAACAGAAGCAGTGTATCAACTTAATTAGAACAGCATGGGTTTTACAATCAGATTTGGGTATAACATTTATGACGTGTTACCTAATGGCTAAACTCTGTTTTCTGTAAAAAAAAACATTTATGATGTGTTACCTAATGGCTAAACTCTGTTTTCTGTAAAATATAGATAATATTAGTACTTAGTAATAAGATTGTCTTGAGCATTAAATGGCAGTGCTAGTGCCTGAATTGTAAGAAAAATATTGGTGAAAATTGTGAAGAAAATAAATTTTTCCCCTTTATGAATCATTAACAACCCCCCCACACACACACATATACAATTAGCAGTTTCTTCCACAATTCTAATTTACTTGTGTTTGTTTGTTTTTGAGACAAGGTCTTACTGTGTAGCCCTGGAAATTGCTATGTAGACCCTCTGCTTCTGCCTCCCAAGAACCAGATTAAAAGTATGTATCCAGCTAATTTACTTGTTTTTAACCAAAATAAAAAAAATAAATAAGAGTTATCCTTCTGTACCACTACCCCACCTGCATCTAACCCATCAATAAGTTGAATTGCTTTGACCCTCTCACATATTTTTTCAGTACAGCTATTTTTTTTTTAATCACCACTGCCATGATTGTAGTCTATATATAACCTGTTGTACCAGAGTAGACTTCAACTGGTGTTCCACTTTTTAACACTTCTACACTGTTCCACTCATGGTCACTATGGTAGTTTTTACAAATATCAGCATTTTATTACCCTGATTGAAACCTTTTAATAATGCACAGTTGCTCTTACTAAAAACCCTGTGATCTGGCCCTTGCTTATGTCCAGCTTTCTCAGTCACCACTCTTTCCTTTCCTTCATTCATTCTACCATACTAGACCTAAAATGCCCTCAAGATGCCAGTTCTTTTTGTTATAAGAGTACTGTCCAGTAGAAAATTCTATGAGATGGAAATGAATTCTGTTGTCTAGTTTGATATCTACTGTGCACATGTTGCTGTTGAACTTTTGAATTTAGGTAGTACAACTGAGAAGCTGAGTTTTTACATTTATTTTGCTTAATTAAAACATAAATAGTGAGGCTAGAAAGATAACTCAGTTGTTAAGGGCACCAGCTCTTGTAGAGGACCCAGGTTTGAGTCCCAGCACCCACATGGCAGTTAACATCCATCTGTAACTCCAGTTCCAGGGGATCCAACACCCTCTCTGCCCTCTGCAGGCACTGCACAGCAAGGTGCACTTACATACATGCAGTCATAATACTCATACACATAAAATAAAAATAATCCAAAAAAAAATTTTTAATATAAGTAGCCACATGTGGCTAGCCACTCCAATGTCAGATCATGCAACCAGTCTAGTGCTTCTGGATGTGTTTTCTCTGTCTCTGCCTACCTCCCAAGTCCTTGGATCAAAGGGGTATACCATCATGCCTGATTGCCTTAGGGTTTTTTGAGACAGGATCTTGATCTCTAGCATAGGCTGGCCTTCAACTCACTGTAAACCATGCTGGCCTGAATCTTACAGCCCTCCTGCTTCAGCTTTCCAAGTACTGGAACTGTAGCTATGTGCTGCAGCCTCTGGCCCTTTGGTTCTCTTTTACCCTCCTTGGCTGTTCATTACTCAATCATCAGATTTCAGTTTACTGCTTCAGGGAGGCTTTTCCTGATATATTCATCTGCTTTGGGAAATTTCATGTTATTTTGTCTTACAGTGCTGGTACCTTTCCTGTACACAATTAATCACAGTGAAATTGTTCAAATTTCCAATTAATAATTAGTAGTACACTTGTACTTCCAGCACTTGGAAGGCCAAGGCAGGAGGATTATAAATTTGAGGCCAGCCTGGCCTACAACAATCATACTTAATTGTTACCATTGTACTTGTACTTCAGCATAATACTTGGCACTTAGTAGAAGTTTAGTAAATTCATCAAGTGAAAGAATATTCTAAAACATTTTTTGCATTTCCAGAATACCACAGTTCTTGGAAAAGTTTACAAGGTGTTTTGTTTTAATCTAGTTGCAGTGGCACTTTGAAAGTTATCTCAGAATACATATGCCATAGAGACTAGTGAGAGAACACACAGGGCCTAAACTTAGGTGTCTGCCTTTTGAGACAGGAACTCACTATATAGCCCTGGCTGGCCTAGAATTATATAGACCAGGCTAGCCAGACACTTAACAGAGATCTGCCTGCCTCTGTTTCCCAAGTGCTGGGATTAAAGGCATGTGCAACTGTGCCTAGCCTCATATCTATATTTCTGAATATATGTGTCACAAATAGCACAGAATCTAATACCAAGTAGTTGCTTAAATGCTAAGCAGCATGCTTTGATGGCTACAGTATTATTTACAACCATGCCTAGCCTCATATCTATATTTCTGAATATGTGTGTCACAAATAGCAGAGAATCTCATACCCAGTAGTTGCTTAAATGCTAAGCAGCATGCTTTGATGGCTACAGTATTATTTACAACCATGCCTAGCCTCATATCTATATTTCTGAATATGTGTGTCACAAATAGCACAGAATCTAATGCCCAGTAGTTGCTTAAATGCTAAGCAGCATGCTTTGAAGGCTGCAGGATTATTTACAATGATAAGAGAAGTTCTGCCTCAAAGGCCAGTTTAGAAGGTGTGTGTGGAGCTTATTAGACAACTATGAATAAAACTTATTTCAGTTTTTTTTGTTGTTTTTGTTTTTGGTCTTTTTGAGACAGGGTCTCCCTGTAGCTCCAGCTGGCCTGGAACTCACTATGTAGACCAGGCTAACCTTGAATTCACAGAGATCTGCATGCCTCTGCCTCCCAAGTGCTGGCATTAAAGTTCCCATTCATGTTTACTAAAGTTGCCGAAATGATGAAACAAAAATACAGGAATGGATAAAATTCTGAAATGAAGGCCAACTTGTGGCCATGATTATAAATCTTAGGGGGGTTTTTGTTCTGTTTTGTATTTAAGTTGAATGTAATTCTTTTCCTATATCTGAAATTGTTTTCCCAAGGCCTCAATATGGTAAATAATGGCAATAATAGAGGGTAGGGAGTGGAAAGGAGAAAGTAAATATGGCTGTTTTGTTTGTGGAAAACTTTGTAACTGGGAAAGCAAAAATCTACAATGTGTAACTACATTTACAGGTGGATTCTGAAGAGCCAGTCTTTGAGGCAGTTATCAACTGGGTGAAGCATGCCAAGAAGGAACGAGAAGAATCCTTGCCTGACCTTTTACAGTATGTACGGATGCCCCTGCTGACCCCTAGGTACATTACAGATGTGATAGATGCTGAGGTAAGTCATGGAAGGCACAGGATCCAAACCTCACAAACCCTTGCAACTTAGTGTTACATACTCAGAACTGATGGTTTTAATGTAGGTAGTCTCCTGTTCCTTCCACAGGAGTGCCAGAGAGGTGAAGCTGTACATTTTCTAGGCATAGGAAAAGTTACTTGCTCAACAAGTCATACTCCTGGAACAAATGAAAATCCATGACTAATTTAATTTTGTGTTGTATTGTCTTTTCATTAAACATGCATCAGAGGGTTTTCTTTAAGCAGCAGCATGATAAACTTTGTTCCCTTCCCTATTAAGCTTAAATTGTTACAAATTGCCCTGAAAAGACCAGAGGTGCTTTTTTTACTAAACCATCCTGGTTTTACCTCTAGGAAATCTAGCTGACTTTGTTTGAGGCAGTTGAATTGGTTGGTTTTTTTAAAAAAATAAAAGTATTTTTCTAACTTAAGTTCTTTGTGCTGTATTTTCATGATTTCTACCATATGCACCATCTATGTTACCTAAACTGTACTTTGATGAGCATTGATTTATAACATATAGATGAGGCCCAATAAATGAGTTATTTCTGCTAGACAGGGCTTGAATCATTTTGGAGGTTAATCATAAAAATAGTTTTACTTGTTCATTTTAGAAAAGTTGCTTGGCCTGAAGTAGTGATACAGGCCTATAATCCCGACACTTGGAAGAGGGAGGCAGGAGGATCAAGAGTTCAAAAGTGGACTAGGAGTGATGGCACACACCTTTAGACCCAGCACTCTGGAGGCAGAGACAGGCAGATCTCTGTGAAATCAAGGCCAGCCTGGTCTATATTGTGAGTTCTAGGTCAGCTTGGGCTACAGGGAGACCCTGTCTCAAAAAATAAAAAAGGGACCCCTCCCCCAAATAAATAATAAAAATTGCTAGTTAGTATCAAATCTCAATTTCTCCTTTTTGTAATTTCTTTCTTAAAACCTGCAGGTTTTCTTGTTGCTGTGACAAAATGTGACCAAAGTAGCTTAAGGAGGAAGGGCTTATATTGATTCTTAGTTTAGTACAGTTCATCATAAGAGAAAGACATGGCAGAAAGAACATGAGGCAGCTGGTCACATCTCATCCATAGTCAGGAAGAACATGAGGTGGCTGGTCACACTGCATCCATAGTCAGGAAACAAAGAGAAAGGAGCTGGTGCTCAGCACAATTTCTCTTTTGTGTTCAGTCCAAGTCCCTAGACCATGAGATATTGCTGCCCACATTCAGGCTAGGTCTTCTCTTTTGAGTTAAATCTTTCTGGAAACACTCTCATGGCCACAACCAAGGGCGAGTTTCCATTATGATTCTAAATCCAGTTGAGTTGATAGTAAAGATCAACCATCATACAACCCATCCTCATACCCTGGATATTTAGGCCTTTCCATTGTGGTTAGGTGCTCATATTCTGGAGCCAGATTGGAGCTAAAATCCCAAATCAAGCATTTTTTTGTGACCCTGAGGAAGATTACTTAAATATATTTGTGCCTCAGATTTCTCCTCTATAAAGCAGAACAATTTTATTACCTATCTTATACATTGTTATCAAAATTCACATGCAAAAGCTTTAAGAACCATGTCTTATACAAAAAGTATTTACTACTATTATTTATTTTCTTTTCTAATAGATACAGAAAACTTGTAGTCAGGCTAGTAAACTAGAACTTACATGAATTGGATTTCCAAAAAGAAACAGGTGTTGTGCTCAAAATAGTTCAGTTTTAAGGAAGGTAATTTTTTTGTTTGTTTTTTTGGTCTTTTTGAGACAGGGTCTCCCTGTAGCCCCAGCTGTCCTGGAACTCACTATGTAGACCAGGCTGGCCTTGAACTCACAGAGATCTGCCTGCCTCTGCCTCCAAAGGTGTGTGCCACCACGCCCGGCTCAAAATGTTTTTAAACTTCCATCCCAATCCCAAAAGGAAAAAGACATGTGCAAACTATACAATTAATTGCAATTGCATTTGGTAAATTAAATATCTGAAGAGGTAATTTTTTTTTTTTAATCTTTTTGAGTCATGGTCTCCCTGAAGACCCAGCTGGCTTAGAACTCACTACATAGACCAGGCTGGCCTTGAATTCTCAGAGATCCACCTGCTGGAATTAAAGGCATGCCTGGCTTAATAAAATTTTGAATAAAACCAAATTGAGGCAGTGAGATGGCTCAGATACTAAAGGCTTTTGCCAAACCAATGGTCCCATTTTTTTCTACCTATTTTCTTTTTTTCCATTGAATTTTTGTGATTTTTCAACAATATAGTTTGGTATTTAGATCCTCTCCTGTATCCACACCCCCCTTTTCCCCCACCCATTTAATGTACACTCTTATATTCCAATCTATAGAGATTGATTTGTGTCCCCAAATGTCCTTCAGTGTGGGTCCATCCACTGGACCCACCAAGAGTCCCATTCCTGTAAGACTCTCTCCCCCTCCCAGCAGCCATCAATTACCTACAGTTCTTTAGGTTGGGTTGGGGTTTCTTATGCACTTGCCCATGTCTTGGCTGGGATTTTTTTCTGATTTGAGCCACGTAGGACTTGTACATGCAGTTACCATTGCTGAGAGTTCATATGAGTAACTGACCAGTTGTCTGGAAGTCTGTCATCCACCCTCTGGTTCTTATAATCTTTTCACCTCCTCTTCTGCAGTGATCCCTGAGTTTTGGGAGGCTGAGGTTTGAAATAAGTATCCTATTGAGGGATAAATGCTCTGCTGTCTCTTGTTCTCTGCACATTGTCCAATCATGGGTTTCTATGTTAATTACCATCTCCCTCATACGGAAACTTCTCTGGTGAGAGGTGAAAGATGCATTGTAGAGGTTGCATTGAAGATGTTCCTGTGTAATATATCATATCTGAACTCAGCATAGTTACAACATTCCTCTTATACTTACAGGCCTTTGAAAATTGGTTTTCTATTCTAAATTACTTCTGTATATGTGTCATTTTGTTATTACAATATTGGAAATGATGGGGCTGGAGAGATGGCTCAGCAGTTAAGAGCACTGATAGTTCTTGCAGAGAACCCAGGTTCAATTCTCAGCACCCACATGGTGGCTAACAACTGTCTGTAACTCCAGTTCCATGGGAAATCGATGACCTCTTCTGACCTCTGCAGGCATTGCACAGCCTGGGTGCACTTAAAATACATGCAGGCAATAACACTCTTATACACAAAAATAAAAATAATAAATAATAATAAAAAAAACAGTATTAGAAATGACTTGTGTGGCTCACTCCACTTCCTGTGTGTTTCAGCCTTTCATCCGCTGTAGTTTACAATGCAGGGACCTAGTTGATGAAGCAAAGAAGTTTCACCTGAGGCCTGAACTTCGGAGTCAGATGCAAGGACCCAGAACAAGGGCCCGTCTAGGTAAGCTGGCATCCTAGCAAAGAGAGGGGATATTTTTCAACTACTTCTTTCAGGTGGTACAAGGTAGTTAAAAACAATAGTCTGTAAGTCACATGCAGACCTTGTTTCAGACCTGCTTTTAATCTTTTACATCATCTCAGACAAGGCACTGCCATTCTAACCTTTAGTTCCTATAATCTGAGAATATTTTTCTCATGTCATGTAACTATTGGAGATTAATAAGATAAAATATAAAAACACGTCATAAATTATCATGTATGATGTAACATTAATTTTTTTTTTTTTTCTGGATGGGCAAGGTGGTGAACACTTTTAATCCCAACACTTGGGAGGCAGAGGCAGGTGGGTCTCTGTGATTTCAAGGCCAGCTTAGTCTACATAGTAAGTTCCAGGCTAGCTGGGGCTACAGAGAGACCCTGTCTCAAAAAGTCCAAAAGAAGAGGGTACACTGCCCCCTGAGTACTGGGATTAAAGGTGTGTGCCACCATGCCCAGCATAACATTACATTTTTATTTTAGTATTTTTAGAATCTATGAACAAGAGATTGCTGAATAGTATGAGGTATGCTCCCACCTACCTTGCTCCTCTTTATCTTTTTTTCCCATTTTAGAATGAAGAGAAGAAAACAAACAAGCCCAACAGAGTAGAAAATACAGGGCTTGGAACTGGGGATATAGTTCATTTGGTAGAGTGCTTAGTCCTGGATTCAGTCCCCAGAATGACATAATCCAGGCAGGGTAGCAAATTGGTAATCTCAGCACTTGAGGGGTAGAGGCAGACAGAAGTTATAAATCGGGGCTGGAGAGATGGCTCAGCAGTTAAGAGCACTGGCTGCTCTCAAAGAGCACTGGGGTTTGATTCCTAGCACCCACATGGTGGCTAAAAACCATCTGTAACTCCAGTTCCAGGGGATCCGACACCCTCTTCTGACCTCCGTGAGCCCTGCACTACATGGGTGCACCTACCTACACACAGGCAATACACTCACACACATAAAATATTTTTTTTAAAAAGAAACCTAACTTGAGTCCTCTGGAAAAGCAGTAAGTGCTCTTAACTCCTAAGCCATCTCTCCAGCCCCTCCAATGTTTTGTTTTGTTTTTTGTATTGTTTTGGGTTTTTTTTTTTTTTTTTTTTTTTTTTTTGGGTTTTTTTTTTTTTTTTGTACTTTTTGAGACAGTCTCCCTGTCGCCCTAGCTATCCTATATCTTGCCATGTAGACCAGGCTGGCTTCCACCTCACAGAGATCTATCTGCCTCTACCTCCCAAGTAGTGGGATTAAAGGCATGTGCCACCACACCCAGCTATCCTCCAGTGTTTTTTTTAATGTCATAAATGCTATATGTTTAATTTTAGAATACAAGAAACAAAAAATAAAAATCATCCACAATTCCACCACACACATACGTATTTTTAAAGAGTGAGGACTCTGGCTAGAAAGATGGCTCAGCAAGTAAAGAGTGCTTACCTCATTTGCAGAGGACCTAAGTTCAGTTCTTAGTACTCATATCTGCAGGCTCACAACTAACTCCAGTTTCAAGGAATCTGACACTTTGGATTTCCACAGGCACCTGCACGCATGTGATACACATAAAGTCACTCAGGCTCACACACATACACAAAAAAATAAGTAAGTACATCTTTATTTAAAAAACAAAAAGGATGTCTGGAGAGAGAGTGCAGCGGTTAAGAACACTGACCGTTCTTGCAGAAGACCCAGGTTCAAATCCCAGCACCCATATGGCAGCTAACAACTCTGTAATTCCAGTTCCAGGGGATCCAACAGACTCTTCTGTCCTCCACATTGCACAACTTGGGTGCACTTACCTACATGCAGACAATACATACATACACATAAAATAAAAATAATAAATAAAATACTTTTAAAAAACAAAAAGGAGAACCATTGGGTTAATTATTGTATTAATTCCTGCAGAATGGCAAAATGTGAACTATATATCATGTATTATATACAAAAATGAATTAACACATACTAGATTAAATGGATAAATGTGAAAAAGTATGAAAGCATTAGAAATTATAGGAAAATATTTGTATTGTAATTTGGAGCACGAGCCGCCTAGGAATACCACATAGTGGTGGTCATATTAGGATTAGGAGTCCTTTATTAGCAGGGCAGTACTTATAAAACTTAAAACCATAATCACAGCATGCTGGGGCAAAGCCAATAACCATAGTTACATTACTGTAGCATCATTGTTACAACAAGGCCAGGGGCAGGTCAGTTAACAAAGAGGTTTTCAGTTAACAAAAAGTTTTGGTTAGGAAAAACAAGTTTCTCATAGAGATGCAGGTATAGCTGGATGGGAGGGTGGGCTACCTAGCTACTTAAGTTTCCCAGTATTGTAGAAACAATGTACTCCCGAAACTACAGGTACAGCCTGCATGGAAGGCTGACTACAATAGGCTGGGCAGAAACACAAGGTAAAGCAAGTCAGCCGGAACAAAATGAAGTCAGCTTTACCATTTCAGTATAACTTCTGGATAGAATCCCTTTATTGTTTTGATTTGGTTTGGGGTTTTTTTGTTGTTGTTTTCTTCATGTTTTTTGGTAGGGTTTCACACTGTAGCCCAAGCTAGCCTAGGCTAGCCTTAAACCCAAAGCAAGCTTCCTGCCTCAGTTTCCTGAGTTCAAGATTACAGGTGTGAGCCACCACATCCAGTTCATATATATATGTCTGTGTGTTTATGACTTCACAAATACATTCCTTCTGAGTTACATCCCTAGACAGGGTAGGTCTGCTCAGGAAAAAATTCTATTTGTTCTCAAATAGACAAATAGTATTGAGTCAAATATTGTTGAGTCAAGGGGAAAATTGTATAAGCCATAAAGCCATATACTGCCTTTATACTAAGTGTTCTTAATGAAATATCAGGGCAGTGGGGAATAGCCAGCAGCATATAAGGATAAAAGATGTTTACCAGAAATTGTTAGTATTTTCAGAAAAATACATATAAATCAAGTTCCATCTGTAGGGAAATGAAAGATTGAGTGGATTATCTTGTTGCTGTATTGTTAGGTATTATGGAACTATTCAAAGTATTGAGTCCTCAATATATAGCTGTGTAGACAAATCTGGAGCTTTTCCTTTTTTCTTTAGTATTTAGTGTGCATGTGCATGCATAGCACAGTCTGAAGGTCAGAGGACGGCTTTCAAGAGTCAAGTCTCTCCTTCCTCCATGTGAGTCCCAGAATTGAACTTGAACTCAGGTCCTCAGGCTTGGTGACATGTACCTTTATCCACTTAGCCAGGTTTTCTTTTTCTTTTTGGTCTTTTTGAGAGAGGGTTTCCCTGTAGCCCCAGCTGGCCTACTTGCTATGTAGGCCAGGCTGGCCTTGAACTCACAGAGCTCCACCTGCCTCTGCCTCCCACGTGCAGTGATTAAAGGCATGTGCCACCATGCCCAGCTAGGTTTTCTTTTCTTGAAACGTTTTGCTGCTGTCAGATTCTTAATCCTCTTGCCTCAGCCTCTCAAGTAGCTGGATTATAAGCATGTGCCATCATGCTTGGCTGACTGGACATATTGGGGTAAAAAAAATTTTTTTTTTCATTAAAAAAAGGGCAGAGAGCCGGGTGTGGTGGCACATGTCTTTAATCCCAGCATTCAGGATTAAATCCCTCCCGAGTGCTGGAATTAAAGGTGTGTGCCACCACGCCCTGATACATTAATTGCTTCTTAAATTGAACTAAAGCCAATGAAAATTTTTTTGAGCCAGAAAATTCATTCTCTAGAGGTTTGTTTTCTACATTCAGATTAGATATGGTTTTATATAATTCATAGTTTCAAAGAAAATGCTGAAACTGTTTTCAACTGGATTCCTTTAAGGTTTTTGAAGGTGTCATATAACCCAGTCTGGCCTTGAACTGGCTATAGCTGAGACTGGCCTTGGAACTCCCAGGTGCTAGGTTATAGACATGTTCCACTACACCCTTTGTGTGTATGCTTGTTGTGTATGCACATGTACATGATTATATGTAATCATGTGAGCGGGAGTATGTATATGTTTGTAGGGGCCAGAGGTCAATGCCAGGTATCCTCTATTGCTCTCCACTTTGTTAAGCCAGAGTCTCTCACTGGTGATAACAGCTGCTCAGCCGGATGTAGTGGTGCATGCCTTTAATCCCAGCACTCAGAAGGCAGGCAGATCTCTGTGAGTTCAAGGCCAGCCTGGTCTACATAGTGAGTTCTAGGCCAATTGGAGCTATAGAGAGACCCTGACCTAAAAAAAAATTGTAACTGTTCAACAGGCCCCTGACCTAAAAAAAATTATTAACTGTTCAACAGACCCTGGGGATCCTTCTGTCTGCCTCCCCAGCACTGAATCATAGGGATGCACTGCTGCCACTAGCTTTTTATGTTGGTACTAGGATTTCAAACTCAGGTCTTCATGCTTGCATAGCAATCAACCCACTGAGCAATCTTCCCAGCCTCTCAAGTAGATTTTTTTGGGGGGGGGGCGGGGGGCAGGGTCTCCCTGTAGCCCCAGATGGCCTGGAACTCACTATGTAGACCAGGCCTCAATCTCAGAGAAATCTCCCTGCCTCTGCCTCCCAAGTATGCACCACAACATCTGGCTCTCAAGTAGATTCTCTCTCTCTCTTCTTTTTTTTTTTTTTTTTTTTTTTTTTTTTTTTGGTCTTTTTGAGACAGGCTGGCCTTGAACTCAAGATTCTTAACATGAATTTATCAGTACCATAGAGATACATTCAAAAGAAGGAGGAGAGAAGGAGAGGAGGGAAGAGGGAGGGGAAGGGGAAAGAGAGGGAATAGAAAGGAAAGGTGGGAAGGAGGGAGGGAGGGAGGAAGGAAAGAAAAGTTGGTAGTTAAATCTGTTGCTTGAGCAAGGGTGTATCAGCTTCAAGCTGATACTTTTGCTTTTTCAAGCCCAGGTTACTTAACAAACCCAAGTTGCTTACAAGCCTATCTAGTTACTAATCATCCAGTGTTCTACCAAATTGTTCTCTCTCTGAGTTAGAGTATGCCTAGAGGAATTCTTCCAAGACAAGGATTGCTGGACATGATCTGAAAATAATCTGATAATAATCAGATTATCAGGCTTTGCTGCAAGTATCCTCACCCACAGAGCCATCTTGAGGGTCCGGAACTTTCCTTTAAAACACTGTCTTTAGTACCTAGAAGTTTTGAAGAATTGATAAGGAATGTGACCATATAGGTAGCTAAATAAAAGCTTGTGAAAGATTTTTAAAATCTACCCCTTAAGCTGGGTGTGGTGGCTCACGCCTTTAATCCCAGCACTCGGGAGGCAGAGGCAGACGGATCTCTGTGAGTTCAAGGACAGCTGGGGCTACAGGGAGACCTTGTCTCAAAAAGACAAAAAATAATAATAAAATCTACCCCTTGCCTTCCCTCTTTTTCAGTAGTATTGGACATCAAACTGCAGGCCTTGTCCTTAGTAGGTAAGTGCTCTGCCACTGAGCCATTAATTCATCCACAGCTCTCACTTGCCTCTGAGTGAGTTTTAAACATCAGGCACTTGGCTCCACAGCTGTGCTTGATCAAAATGATTGTCATTCAGGGGCTGGAGAGATGGATCGGTGGTTAAGAGCACTGGCTACTCTTGCAGAGGACCTAGACTTCATTTCCAGCACCCACATGGTAGCTAACAACCATTGGTAACTCCAGTTCCAGGGGATTCGATTCTTCTGGCCTCTGCTGGCGTTGCACGACATGGGTGCACTTACATACATACATTCAAGCAAAATACTCATACATACAAAAGTTACTAAAAATGATTGTCATGCAGACTCATTCCTTGGAAGTTCACTTTTTTTTTTTTTTTTTTTCCATAATTTTGCTAAGGTTGTAGTTTTATTGTTTTCTTTTACTTTTTTTAAAGATAATTTATTGAGAATTTCATACATGCATATAAGGTATTTTAATCAAATCCATACCCACTCCCTCCCCTCCAATTCCTCCCATATCTCCCCATCATCTTTTTCTGAT